CCTGTTTGTTCAGTGACATGAGATGTCCCAAGGGCTAAGTGGCAGCAATGGAATCACTGCTGTGTTTGCCACTACACTGCTCCCTTGGAATGAAACTTCTAAAACTAGCAGAGCTCAAAGTCACCAAGAGGGGAAGCAACAATTTTTAAAGTGGGCTTTTAGGTGTAAGAATGAGAGGAGCCACTTGTATTTCCACTTCTTGGTTCCTGAAGCCAGAAAAACAGGACCATGTATTGTTGCTAGTTGGGAGCATTTACCACACGTACAGGGATTTTAAAAATGTTACCACGCGGATGGGGTACAATGGTAGACTAGGTCCACTATGAGATTTATTCATGATGCCACTTGTCACCTGATCCACTGTGGACTGAATTATGTGTTATTGTCCGTTGTTACTACCACCCCAGTTCTATGTTGCAGTGCTAACCTTCAAAGTGATCGTATCTGGAGATGGGACCTTTGAGATATAATTAGATCTGATGAGATTCCTCATGATGGGATTTGTACCCTTATAAAATAACAGAGCTTGCCTTTTCCCTCTCTCCCGGCCATGTGAGGACACAGTGAGAAGGAAGCCTTCAGGAGGACAGGAAGACAGCGCTCAGTGAAGTGAATTGGTTGGCACTTTGACTTTGGACTTTCCAGATTCCAGAACTGTGGCAAGTAAATTCCTATTGTTTAAGCCACCGGTCTTCAGTATTTCGTTACAGCAGGCTCTGCTGACTAATGTATCTTCATCAATCTTCATCCAGACTGGGAGACTACAGGTATTTTTGGATCCCAGGGGCTAACATCTGCTCAGAGCCAATAACTAGCCCAGAATGTGGGTATCTCTTTTTCCTACTGTACAGTCTCCCCTGCAAAATGGGTAGAAAGAAGACTGACTGTACCCACTTGTGACAGGATTGTGAACATCTTCATTTAAAGAGTCCTGGGTCTGTGAAGGAGGCCTGGTAAGGGGACTGGATAAGAGGTCATATATTACAGTGGGAGGTCAAGTCCTTGTTCACCAGACAGATCAGAGATTTTTTTATTACAAAGATCAAGTAAAACTTTAGTATGCTGCCCATTTATATCAAAGCTAAAGACTCCATGATCAATTCTACATTATCAAAAAATCTCTTTGGGTCAAATAATTTTGATTACTACTGTAGCCCTGTTGACAAGTACAGGAGCCATGCCCACACTGACTCCAGTAGTGAAATGGCATCAAAAACCCCATTTTAATGACGTTATTCCCGATCCCCATGGCCTCGGACTATGTTACACTAGGAAGTTCTGGCATTTCAACATTATCTAACGTAATCCTCCAATGAATCTAGTTTTATTTAATCAAACTGCTAAAGCTAACATACTAAATCCAGAATCTCTAATAGGAACAGTGATATCAATAACTCATCATCAATCCAATACTATATTCTTATTTCCCTGGTCTAGGACACTTAGGTCCTAATCTTACACATATTCTTCTCAAGTTCCTGTGACTATAAATGAACACAATCTTACTTGTATCTTCCAAGGTTGGATTTTCTGCTTATCCCCCTGGGGCATGATTGAATTTGGCTACTTTTGGGCCTAAAGATAAAGAAGGATGGAGTAGCAGTGAGGTATGACTATATCTGGTACCCTCTACCTGGGTTCAGCCTGCTATAGAGGCTCCAAGCAAAGAAAGACTAACTTGATCAGACAGGGAAGGAGACTGCTTCTGCAGGAGGGGAAACTAAGTGAAGTTTGCAGGCTCTAGGTATCTTGATTTATTTGAATCTATCCAATGTCTCCATTCAAATTCTCACCATTCTGTCTTTTTCTATCAGTGCTTAATCTTTAACCTAAGAGATCTGATGTGGCTCTGAATTCAACTTACATGGGAATTCAGTGACCTGCAGTGTCTGATTCTTGACTACATTAGCTCTGAGGCTATACAAGGTGGGAAAGTCTCCCAGGGAAGTCACAGAAGGTCCCTAGTTCTCTGATTGTGACTGGAGATAAATATTGTAAACTATGAAACTGTTACATCTTTTCTCTTACGCAATTCAGTATGGCTTCCATGTGGATACATCATAAACCATTCCCTAATTAATGATTTTTCAGCTCTTCCAATAAATTCCTAACTCAGGCCTAGAATGAAGTGACAAGAAAGTCTCAAAGGCACCAGGATGGTACCAGATTAGCATGACAATTCTCCACACCCTGGATACACCAGAGAGTCCAAGGCGTTGGGCGCCTCTGCACTGGGTCGACTATAGCATCTTTGGAGCTGAGTGGTGGCGGTTAGGGAGGTGCCTTAGCCACTAGAGCTCAGAGGACAACGAGAGCCTTGTCTTACTGGCCCACGTGTCTGCTCATCTTCCAGCCGTGCAGGGAGTCCCCTCCTCAAGGAGGAGCTAGCTCATTTACATAATGAAAACTGGCAGAATTTAATGCGACATCTGTACAGATGCAATCTTCCTTTAAATAAAAGGGTATTTTAATACGAAACAGTTTGGCCATTAAATTCAATCTAAACATCGTGAAATTGAGTTTTCCAGGTGACATGTGATGCATTTTTTTTCACAACTCACTAAGCTCATTTGCCTTCATCTTCTCAAGATTTTAAAAAAGCAACATGTTTTTAATGGAAATTATGAATTTGCCAATGTACTCTGTCAGCCTCCTTTAAGTCTGCTATAATCATTTCTTTGGGCTGAAATTCTCTGTTCTTCTAACCTACAATCACTGAAGACCAGGATACAATTTAGAGGCCTTGAGGTTCTAAACTGGAATATGAGATGTACTGTGTGGCTCCAATTAACAGCAAATTTTTCCACAACTTTGTCCTGAAACAGAGGCCCCCCAGTACCCTCCTCAAGCAGCTCCATCATTACTGTGACTCTCAGAGCTGGGACAAAACACTTCCAAAGTGTCTTATGACCCAGGACTTAGAAGCAGAGTTTAAAGAAGCTGCCTTTAAAATGGCCTTCATCGTGGCCTGTAAAAACAGAGAACAAAGCACTCCTCTCCATAAAAGCAGATGCCAACCATCTGTTTCCCTCAGGTTATTCTCTGAGCATGGGCAGGAAGATGCAAGTCCTTATCCTTGGCTCAGTAAGTCACCTGAAGCAAACCCTTCTCAAAAACGGGCAGACACAGCAACTAAGTGCTTTGTGCAGGAGACTTTGGGGCCAATTGATTGATGAGCAAGTAAGGCAGAAACCCCAACCATCACTTTTATGAAAGAAAACTGAATAAAGGCAGAGATGTCTACCTCTCCCCTTTGCTAAGCATAACTTAGAAGTAGTTGCTTAATATTTTTCAGCCCCAGGGTTTTCACCAATCAAGTGATGGGTCGAATCTTGCCCCGTCCCTCAGGAGTTTGTATGACACCATGCCAACGTCAGCAAGTCAACTGAGCTCAGAAAAATTTTAGATTATCTAGAAGCATATGCTATTTTCTTGGGCTTTAGAATCACTGCACTGCGGATGATGACAGCAGCCATGAAATTAAAAGATTTGCTCCTTGGAAAAAGATTTGCTCCTAGGACAAACCTAGACAGTGTATTAAAAACAGAGATATCACTTTGCTGACAAAGGTCCATATTGTCAAAGTGATGGTGTTTCTAGTAGTCACGTACAGATGTTGAGAGTTGGACCACAAAGAAGGCTGAGCGCCAAAGAATTGATACTTTCAAACTGTGGTGCTGGAGAAGCCTCTTGAGAGTCCTTTGGACAGCCGGAGATCAAACCAGTCAATCCTAAAAGAAATTAATCCTGAATTAATTCAGCATCAACTGAAGCTGATGCTTAAGTTGAAGCTCTAATACTTCGGCCACCTGATGTGAAGAGCCAACTTACTGAAGAAGACTGCTAATGGGGAAGACTGAGGGCAGGAAGAGAAGGGGGCGACAGAGGACGAGATGGTTCGAAGGTATCACTGAATCACAGAGTTAGAACAAGATCCAGGAGAAAGTGAAGGACAGGGAAGCCTGGGGTGCTGCAGTCCGTGGGGTCACAAAGAGTTGGATATGACCCACTCCAGTACTCTTGCCTGGAAAATCCCATGGATGGAGGAGCCTGGTGGGCTGCAGTCCATGGGGTCGCTAAGAGTCGGACACAACTGAGCGACTTCACTTTCACTTTTCACTTTCATGCATTGGAGAAGGAAATGGCAACCCACTCCAGTGTTCTTGTCTGGAGAATCCAAGGGACGGGGGAGCCTGGTGGGCTGCTGTCTATGGGGTCGCACAGAGTCGGACACGACTGAAGCGACTTAGCGGCAGCAGCAGTGACTGAACAACAACAGAGAAGCATATGTAATAGTTAGTTAAAATCAACATTCATAAATCTCTCAAAATCCCCAAGGGAGATAGAGGGGGTTGCATTTAGAACCTGTTAATAAAGCATCTCGCTCAACTTCTTCTTATCAGTCAACTGAACATTACAACTCCTACCCTGTCTACCTTTCAGGATTACCATGAGGATCAACATCAAAATGGAATAATGGAGGAGAAAGCACACAGTTGACAGAGTAGAGACAAAATACTTATCAACTGTAAAAATATTAGTTATAAATAAAACACTGTTGTAACTCATAGAAAGTGTGAAAGTCGCTCAGTCATGTCCAACTCTTTGTGACCCCATGGACTATACAGTCCATGGAATTCTCCAGGCCAGAATACTGGAGTGGGTAGCCTCAAAAACCAACAGGCCCCAAATTTTCTATATTGAGACTGAAACTGAACAGTGAAAGTGAATGTCACTTAGTCATGTCTGACTCTTTATGACCCCATGGACTATACAGTCCATGGAATTCTCCAGGCCAGAATACTGGAGTGGGTAGCCTTTCCCTTCTCCAGGGGAATCTTCCCAACCCAGGAATTGAACCCAGGTCTCCCTCATTGCAGGAACATTCTTTACCAGCTGAGCCACAAGGGAAGCCCATAACTCATAGGGGTGACTTCAAGTGTAAACACAGGTTACCACCCAGAGGGGCAGAGAGAGAGCCGTGACTTGGAGCCAACTACCTGATGGTGGTGCCTTGCAAACGATCTATCTTCTTATTGAGCTCAGCGATGATACTGTGCAGTTCTGTGATGCGTTCCTCATACCGAAGCGTGGTTCGCTCCTGGACGTCCTCATGCTCTCTCATGAGATGGGACTGCTCACACTGGGATCAAGAGAACAAGACAGAAGTGCCAATGAATTGACATACCTAATAGCAAGAGAGTCTAAGTCTGGCGGCCTCAAACCATCACAACCTTGACATAGAGTATGCCCCAAATAAACATATACCTACTTGTTGGCCCAGAAGACACATAGCTGAACTTCACAAAGTCCCTGATGGCCACTCAAGTCTACTTTTCTAGCTCTACATTTCCAGGTGGCTCTAGTGGTAAAGAACCCATTTGCCAATGCAGGAGAGAAGAGATGTAGGTTCAATTCCTGCATTAGGAAGATCCCCTGGGAGAGGAAATGGCAACCCACACCAGTATTCTTGCTTGGAAAACCCCAAGGACAGAGGAGCCTCGTGAGCTACAGTCCAGGGGGCTGCAGGGAGTCGGACACGACCAAGTGAGCACAGCATACAGCTCTCATTCGCTCTTTGGGTAAAGGTCCCTCTGCCACTGTCCACAGTCTCTGTGGCACCATTCACGTCTTCTGCTCCTCTCCAGCTGCAAGGCAGGCAGAAGCTGCACTCAATATGCCAGCAAATTTGGAAAACTCAGCAGTGGCCACAGCACTGGAAAAGGTCAGTTTTTATTCCAATCCCAAAGAAGGGCAATGCCAAAGAATGTTCAGACTACTGCACAATTGCAGTCATCTCACATGCTAGCAAAGTAATGCTCAAAATCCTCCAAGTCAGGCTTCAACAGTACGTGAACCATGAACTTCCAGATGTTCAAGCTGGATTTAGAAAAGGCAGAGGAACCAGAGATCAAATTGCTAATGTCAGTTCGATCATAGAAAAAGCAAGAGAATTCCAGAAAAAACATCTACTTCTGCTTTATTGACTACACCAAAGCCTCTGATTGTGTAGATCACAAGAAACTGTGGAAGATTCTTTAAGAGGTGGAATTCCCAGACCACCTTACCTGCCTCCTGAGAATTCTGTACGCAGGTCAAGAAGCAACAGTTAGAACTGGACATCGAACAACAGACTGGTTCCAAATTGGGAAAGGAGTATGTCAAGGCTGTATATTGTCACCCTGCTTATTTGACTTATATGCAGAGTACATCATGAGAAACACTGGGGTGGATGAAGCACAAGGTGGAATCAAGATTGCTGGGAGAAATATCAATAACCTCAGATAAGCAGATAACACCACCCTTATGGCAGAAAGTGAAGAGGAACTAAAGAGCTTCTTGATGAAACTGAGAGAGGAGAGTGAAAAAGCTGGCTTAAAACTCAATATTAAAAAAACGAAGATCATGGCATCCTGTCCCATCACTTCATGGCAAATAGATGGGGAAACAATGGAACCAGTGACAGACTTTATTTTTGTGGGCTCCAACATCACTGCAGATGGTGGCTGCAGCCATGAAATTGAAAGATGCTTGCTCCTTGGAAGAAAAGTTATGACCAACCTAGACAGCATATTAAAAAACAGAGACATTACTTTGCCAACAAAGTTCCATCTAGTCAAAGCTATGGTTTTTCCAGTAGTCATGTATGGATGTGAGAGTTGTACCATAAAGGAGGCTGAACACTGAAGAACTGATGCTTTTGAGCTGTGCTGCTGGAGAAGACTCGAGAGTCCGNCCAGTCCATCCTAAAGGAAATCAGTCCTGAAGATTCATTGGAAGGACTGATGCTGAAGCTGAAAGTCCAATAGTTTGGCCACCTGATGTGAAGAACTGACTCACTGGAAAAGACCCTGATGCTGGGAAAGATTGAAGGCAGGAGGAGAAGGGGACGACAGAGGATGAGATTGTTGGATGGGATCACCAACTTGATGGACATGAGTTTGAGCAAGCTCTGGGAGCTGGTGATGGACAGGAAAGTCTGGTGTGCTGCAGTCCGTGAGGTTGCAATGAAACAGACACAACTGAGCAACTGAACTGAACCTTCTTTTTGGAATCTGAACCTTGAGTGAACGGATTGAAGGTCGCATGTGGTCAATTCACTTGACTGAGGGTCCTGGGGAGACTGTGCGTCCATTCCCGCTCCCTCTATTCCAGAGCATTCTTGCCACGTTCTGTACTGCTGCTCAGTTTTTCTTTTACCAGTTCACTCCTTTTTGCTGTAGTTTGGTAGGATAAGCTTCAGCCACTTTCAGTCCTAGATTCTATGACGCCATTTCTTATCTGACTGGCTATCTGCAGGCAGTGCCTTCCAGTATCCTTTCTTACCAGACTATAAACTCCAGGAAGGCAGGGGCTGGGTGTTGTCATGACTTAGCCCTCGCACCTGGCACACAGCCTGGCTCACTGTGGGTGACCTAGGAGGGCGATGGGATGAATAAATCACTGTGTATCAGGAAGCCAAGGAGCTTCCCTTGCTCAGCAGTTGATGGATTAAGCAGCAGCAGATGCTATAAAAACGTTTTTGCATCTCAAGTTTAAATCCTAAAGAGCCTGTTCATCTCTTTCACTTGTCTCCTTCCTCCTCAACCCCCATTCAGTCACTGTGCATTTAATCTCATTTACATGACAATAAAACACTAGCCAGTGACAGAACAAGGAGTCCCACTTCTGAACAAGGAGCCCCTGTCTACTGCATTCAGCCCTGATTAATTTCCTGCCCAGCAGAGGAATTTTAATTTCATTTTTTGGCAAGGTTTTTGTAATGCCAAGAGCCACATGTACTTGCCAGTTTTGCACTTTCAGGGCTGGTGCAGGAGGGCAAGGGTAAGACTTCTTACCTTCTACCTCCAATGTCCTCTGCCCTCCACAAATCTGCCAGGCTCCCAAAGGGTGTAACCCAGAAGCTACTGGGCAGGAACACAAAGCCTTTAGAAACAGACAGGATGCTACAAAAGCCCAAGTCAATATTGAAGCAGAAGTACTCAGCAAAGTATGACAAACACGTTGGCAGAAACCATGGCAGGGGCCACACCTATGAACAACAGCGTGATCACAATCACACTATGTAGTAACTTCCTGGGTGCCACTCAGTACTCCAGAAATAAGGTTGGAGGCAACAAGGTTGAGGAACTTGCACTGCAGGCATTAGGGAGAAGGTGACTTTCAGAGAAATGGCAATGTGAACTTCTGTTCTTAATGACAACCCGAAACGTCTGATAACGTCTGCTCAAGGTTCAACACACAGGAAGTAAGTGGACTCCAGAGGCCAGGAGGAAGGACGAGTGAAAATCCCATTTCTATGGACGTTTTCCTAAACACAGCTGAGCCCTGAGAGTTGTAAGAATACTCTCTCCATGAAGTTATGCCTTTCCACCCGTCATCCACGACCCATCACACTTTAAGAGGGACGACGGAGGTCCAAAGACATGACAGTGTCTCACAGACGGTAACTGTCCGTGAATGAAAAAGGTTCTCCTTTCTCTGGAACATACTAAAAGCAGAACACCATGCCTCTCCATTCCTGAAGAGTATCTATGAGATTGTGACTGGTCTTTATTCCCATCTTCAAATTGTGTCTGTGAGTGTGTGTGCACACATGTACGTGCCTGCATTGGCATGTGTGTAGTATGTATATATGGGTACGTATCTGCTGCTCTCATGAAGGTCACTAGTTCCCCATCTGACAATAAATATGACATAATGACCGGTCTGACCTAGACTCATTGATGCCATGACTCATACTTTGCCATCTTGCCCTGCTCTGGGGTTTTCCACATTCAGTTCTCTAGGGCTCTAAGGTACTGTGAAATGCTTCCCCCTACAAACTCCACAAGCTCTCAACTCTCTGTTCAATTCCCCACTTATTCCTCCTCTTTCAGTCTCTACAGGTCAACAGGCCACCACCACTACCACCAAAATGGACATGAAACTGCAAAATCCACTTAAAACTGAAGATGCGCAAGAAAAAGGCAGAGGATCAACTGATAACTGCTAAGCCCACTGTGGGTATCCCTGTTGATGGTCAGGAGCTACCTGAGAGGTGAGCTCCCAGACCGGGGCTGCCCAGTCTGTGGGGAGACCAGAGGGCTGGTGCCCAGACAACAAGAGCAGCTGGGGTCACAGCATCTCCGCCCCCTACCCTGCGTCTGACCGCAAAGTCCGTCCCGAGGGCATGAGCACAAACAAGACAGGGCAGGAAGCCCAGTGATTCAGTCAGACCAGGATGTGCAGCTTAAAGAAGAGAAAAGATTCCTAACATCTATTTGCAACTCAGAGGTTTGTTTGGGAGCAGAAACAAGAACATCATGGAGGAAAAAATTTCTCAGCTGAAGGCAAAGATATCTGGGTTACACTCCTATATTTTTCCATAAGTATGTTTTTTTCAAAATGGTGGAAAGCCTCTATAATTTAATACTTCCTCAAAAATAATAGATATGTCTTGATTTTCTAAACTGTCTAAGACATGCTGGGTGCCATAGGGAGCATCACCATGATGTCTGCCTTGAAGTAGAGTGTGGTCACAGCTTCTGAGCAGATTTCTCTGCAGGTGAATAAGAAAGGGAAATAAGGGGGAAGGTGTGAGGAAGAAGCGATGGCAGGATGGTAGCCTACAGATTCTTTTCCCAGTGAAACGAGAATCTGGGAAATCATCATCAAAGCTCCTAGACTCTAGATGAATGAATGACTGAGAAGACAGAGCTCATAGTTGATGTTACAGAGCAACATCCCCTTGAGGCATCTGGTCAACCCACTTGACCCATTTTGTGCATACTCGTTATGCCCAGTCCAAGGTATGTGGAGGTGCTGCTCTCCAAGCTTAGTGAAAAACAAACCCTTGAGCATTGCTAAGCTGCAGTGTGGGGAAGAGTGGAGCAACTCCAACCAGGGCAACGGCACAGGGCAAAAGAAGCTGTCACCCGCAGGAGCCAAAAGAGCTCAACGAAACGTCCTTGTCAAACAGCTCCCATTAAGCTGCACAAGGCCAAGTCCAGGAATGGGGCGCTCTCGTGCAGGAGAAGTGGAAGATGGGCGAGTGGCGCCCAGGACTGACAGAGGCATTCTGTGAGCGATCAGAGCCTTCCTGCCCTGGCGACCTCCCACACAAGCAGGACTGGCCTGCTATAGAGAGGCCCGGTTCAAAAT